CCCCCCCCGCGCGGCCAGGCGACTGGCACCGCGGCGGCGCCGAGCACGCACTCTGTCGTACCTCCATGCCATATTGCCCGTGTCACCAAATGAGAATGAGCGCCATTTCTCGCTTTGCCGTGATTTCGTTTTTATTGGGATCCCTGAGCTCAGCTGTGCGTGCGCGCCCGCACCCTCTCTACATATTTACCGCTTCGCGTGCCTGGCGTACCCTTCTGCACCCCCTCTTCCACCCCCTGCTGCACCCGCTGAGACACCCCACGCTGCACATCCTGCTGTGCGACGCGATGGGCACCAAAGGCTATCAAGTTGACTTCTTTATGGAATTGATTTCTGCTCCTGTACAAACTGTTTGTTTTCGACAGGCTTTAATCGAGCGCCGCCCCCCTCTAATGTATAACCCTTTTCTTCCGTTTCAGATGAGCGGCAAACGTTCGCGGTCCTTCAAATGCGCCGTCCATCACCGAGATAGAGAGGTCTGCAGTGAGAACGACTTCCACCTCGTCGACCCCGACCCTCCGCTGCGCAGGTGAGAAAGAGTCATGGATGAAATGTCGCGAACTGAAACGTGTTATATGTCTCTTCTTGGTGGATATGGCCTCTTTGGTTCGGTCTCTGCGTTATTTCCTTTTCATAAGGACGACGCCGTAACTTGCACTGAGAGACTTGCGCTCCGTAGAAATGTTGCCATTACCTGACCTTCCCATCTGTGAACTCAATTAAAAGGCCGTGCAAGGAGTAGTAGTACATTCGCCCCCACCTCCTCGCTTCCCCGAACAGCGCGACGACGACTCGTGGCCGCCCCTGAACGGACACACGAGAGAGGATGTCTCCGCGCTGATTCACTATTTGGTGTGGGCCAGGAATGCCTCCCCGTAGTCACCCGCCGGGCGTCATGTAGCCACGTATCTCTGCGCCGCTCCCGCGCCAGTTGCGCATCCGCCGCCCCTCAAAGTGGAGCCGCCCCTCCCGAATTCCTTCCGGGAAGCGAGGAGTGCGGCGCTGATCCGCGGCCCCGCGCCGCAGTCACACCCCGGGCTCCGCCGCCAGGGCTCCGTGAGGGCTCCTCCCGGCTCCGGTCTGGTATGCGCGCCCGGGCGCCCGGAGTCCTGGGGTCCTGGCCTGGCCGAGGAGTCGGAGGTCGTGAGGCAGCTGCCGCAGCACGCTGTACCTACAAGTGCCAGGTGGCTGATCGCTGGTGAACCACGCCCACTGGTTGTGCATGCATGCAGGCGTGGGCGGGTGGATTTGCCAAACCGCCCTGCCCGGCTCGCGGCTCCTTGGGAACCCGTGCGGTTAGGCAACCCGCTCGCTCGCGTGCATGCGGTACAGCATCCACGAAAGTTCGCGGCGCCGTGAGTCAGCCACCTGGTATGGTAGGCGAGGAGTCCTCTTGCTGGAGTTTCCTCGCCCCTCACAGTTGGTGGTGGTAGGTCCCCGTCAATGGTACACTGATGCCGACTTTTCCCATGCAAGTTTGGCTGTATAGTCGGCATTTTCCAAGTGTTTTTGTGGCGCTGTGCGCTTGCTTCCCTTCCCCATACCGCCCCCGCTCTGAGCCCCGTCCCCCGGCTGCAGGCACGTTTCTCTCGGGGGCCCCGCTGTTCGCCGCCGCGGGCCCCTGGGCCACCTGTGCGATGAGGTGAGGGCATCACTGGGGCTGCTGCTGCCGCGTTCGGTACGGTGGCGGTGTAGTAGTGCTGGGTGGGGCGAGGGAGACGGGGGCAGTCGGGACAGGGCCCCGTCCTGACCGTAGGCAGCCCGCAGACTGTGGTGCATTCCACTCCCGGAGCTTAAACTGTGGTCGGCCACACTTGTTACAGAATATACTGCAAGCCGACGATCCTGCTCCTCCTCCTTCTGGCGGCGGCGGTGACCCCCCGGACCTTACGCCCCGCCGCAACTTTAGTTGACACTTCGCCTCCTGTGCATGCACCTGCGCGTGGTGAGAGTGCGCTCATGCTTACCCGCCCGTATTTTCACACCGCACAAAAGTTTTTTTTCTCCCTTGAGCTTTTCATAGTATTTATTTTTTATGGTCAAGTCCCTCTTATTTTTTCTAGATTCCTCGCTCTCTAGCGCGACTCGACACATTGTCACTGGTGTGGGGGGGTCCCCGCGAAGCCCCTGGGCCGGGCGGCGTCCGCGGCGTCACGGCTGGTGTGGGAACGGGTTGGTTGGAGACGGCGGGGCGGGGCGGGGTGGACCCCCACTTGTGCCCTGTGGCGCTGCTCCGCTGCACCTCTCCTCTGCTGCAGTGCGCCGACGACGCCGCCGCCGACGACGCCGCCCGCCCTTTTGCGCAGTTTCCAGCAAACTGTCATTAAACTTTTTAGTATGTTCCAAGCGTGCTTTTTTTCGTACTTTATTTTCGCGGGGCAGGGCAGAGAGGGGCCTTTGCTGCGCCGTGGAACGCCTCACCTCCTCGGTGCGCGTCGCGACGACAAGGTAACGACAAGGTGCGCAGGTCAGACCCGACCAAACGTTGCTTCTTTATTGTCCTTCTTCTCCTTTTTCCGTCCTCTCACCTTTTTCTTTCTTTCTTCCTTTTTTTTCGTTTTGATTGTCTTGTCCGCTATTTCTCTATAGCTATGCCCTTTTGCGGCGCTAAGAGGTGCCCAAGGCGGGCAGCGCGCAGCGTTTGGAAGGTTGGTTGGTTTCACTCCCCCCACCCCCCAATCTTTTTTGTATGAAATGTGCGACGACGCTGCGAATGCGTAAGCCGTATTCTGCGGAACCAGAAGAGTCGCGCTTCTGTGACAGAAGTATCCCCACTGCGTCTTATCGGCCGGACATTCCCAGCCTCACCATTTCTCTCTCTCTCTCTTTCTCTCTCCCTCTCGGACGCGCGACGGGTCGCCCGCGACCGCCGCCGCCGCCGCCGCCGGACTGCTTGCTGCCTCTGACCCATTAAACAAGACAAATGATGAATAAAAGGGAGGGAGGGGAGCGGGAAGATTTAGGGACGGAATGGTGTCATTTGGGCGAGACATTCCACGACGACGCACAATGCGGTCGCTCCAGGTAACTAGCCCACCGCGCCGTTCGTAATCATTAGGCAGCCCCCTCCACCCTCCCTCACCTCTAGAGGCCCGCCGCCGCCACCCGCCCGGCTCAATAGTATTGCTCAACTTTTCTTCTTCCTCGTTTCCTTTCGCACGCTCCGGTGCAGGGCGATATAGAGACATGCCCTTCGCGTCATTCCTGCTCTCTGTAAAATGACCGCTGCAAAAAGCGAGCGCAGAGTCCTACCTACCATCGTCCTCTCAGCACCCCCACCCTCTCCCTCCCTCCCTCCCCTCCTCTCTCCCTCCCTCCATCCCCAACTCCCGCT